AGGAAAAAGGGATTAAGTAAGAGTGACGTCACACGTGATTGATCTTTGAATGATTTTGGTTTTGCTGTATAACTTTTTTTTTTTTTTTTTTTTGATTTGTACACTGTTTGGCTTGTTATTTTTTTTCCCTGTTTTTGGAGTATGATCATTTGCATGACTTTTTTTTTTTTTTTCCTGTATTTTTTTCAAGCCATGTTCTGTAATTTCTGTTTTATTTGTATGATCTGGTTTAATTTAAAATTGATTTTAAAGTTAAATAAAAAAAAAGATTTTGGATTGTCAAATCCTGCACACCGTATACAGTGAATTTCGATACGTTGTTCAACAGTTCGATCTTAATAAACATTTCAATAACAGGTTGAATTATGTGTGTACGTGTCTTTGTTTTTTTCCTTTCATCCAAAATGATTGCTTATTGAGTGAACAGTCTCTACTACTGCAGCCATTCTCGGCTGGGGTTCTGTGGAACCCTAGGTTTCCTCCACAGGTAGCTGGGGGTTCTTTGAGCTTTGGCTGGTTGACCCATTTGATGGTACCCTAGTTGGGGGGCCAATGCCACTGAACAGAGATAGCTGTAAAACAAATTTTTAGCTGCCTGTAAGGGTAGCACTTCAACCACCACAGTTTTATTCTTCCCACTGACCACCAATGTAAGGGGCATTTTTCCTACTGACCACCAATGTAAGGAGCATTCTTCCCACTGATCACCAATGTAAGGGACATTCATCCCACTGATCACCAATGTAAGGGACATTCTTCCCACTGATCACCAATGTAAGGGACATTCTTCCCACTGACCTCCAATGTAAGGAACATTCTTCCCACTGATCACCAATGTAAGGGACATTCTTCCCACTGACCTCCAATATAAGGAACATTCTTCCCACTGATCACCAATGTAAGGAACATTCTTCCCACTGATCACCAATGTAAGGGACATTCTTCCCACTGACCACCAATGTAAGGGACATTCTTCCCACTGATCACCAATGTAAGCAGTATTCTTCCCACTGACCACCAATGTAAGGAGCATTCTTCCCACTGATCACCAATGTAAGGGGCATTCTTCCCACTGATCACCAATGTAAGGGGCATTCTTCCCACTGACCACCAATGTAAGGGACATTCTTCCCACTGATCACCAATGTAAGGAGCATTCTTCCCACTGACCACCAATGTAAGGGACATTCTTCCCACTGATCACCAATGTAAGGAGCATTCTTCCCACTGACCACCAATGTAAGGGACATTCTTCCCACTGATCACCAATGTAAGGAGTATTCTTCCCACTGATCACCAATGTAAGGAGCATTCTTCCCACTGACCCCCAATGTAAGGAGCATTCTTCCCACTGACCACCAATGTAAGGAGTATTCTTCCCACTTACCATCAATGTAAGGAACATTCTTCCCACTGATCACCAATGTAAGGAACATTCTTCCCGCTGATCACCAATGTAAGGGACATTCTTCCCGCTGACCACCAATGTAAGGGACATTCTTCCCGCTGACCACCAATGTAAGGGACAATCTTCCCACTGACCACCAATGTAAGGGGCATTCTTCCCACTGATCACCAATGTAAGGGACATTCTTCCCACTGATCACCAATGTAAGGGACATTCTTCCCACTGATCACCAATGTAAGGACCATTCTTCCCGCTGACCACCAATGTAAGGGACATTCTTCCCGCTGACCACCAATGTAAGGGACATTCTTCCCACTGATCACCAATGTAAGGAACATTCTTCCCACTGATCACCAATGTAAGGGACATTCTTCCCACTGACCACCAATGTAAGGGACTGATTGGGATAGGGAGTTCCATAGGATGGAAGAGGCTCAGGAGAAGTCCTGGAAGTGAGCAAGAGAACAAGAGAGCAGGAGGTCTTGGGAGGTACGAAGAGAAGAATTAGGTTGGTATTTTGAGACTAGATTACCGATGTAACAGGGCTGAGTTGTGGATGGCTTCTAAGTTATTGTTAGTATTTTGAATTGAATTCTTTGGGTGAGTGGCAGCCAATGGAGGGATTGGCAGAGAGGGGCAGCAAACACTGAGCAGTCGGTAAAGTAGATGAGTTTGTCAAAAGCATTCATTAAGGACTGAAGGATGGATAGCCTATGTAAAGGTAAGCCAATGAGGAGGGAGTTGCAGTAATCGAGGTGAGAGATGCCCAGGGAGTGAATTAGGAGCTTTGCGGTGTCTTTGGTTAGGAAGGGGCACATTTTAGAGATGTTGCAGAGGAGAAGGTGGCAGACTTTGAACATTGATTTGCATGTGAGGCTGAAAAGATAGTTCAGAGTCCAGGATTACACCTAGCACCTTGGCATGTGGGGACATGTTGATAGCTGAGCCGTCGATCTTGACAAAGAAGTCAGGGGAAGAGGTATGTGGGGGAGGAAATATTATGAGCTTATCTTTATTATCACCCCCTCGTCTCTGCCTGAATCACACACCTACTGAGCGACATATCAGATTGGATGTCGCTCCACTTCCTTAAACTGAACCTCTCCAAAACCGAGTTTCTTGTCTTCCCCCAGCCCGGACACCACCCCCCATTGACTTCTCCATCACATCCAACAACGCTACCATCAAACCCGCCCCGCAGGCCAGAGTACTTGGTGTCATTCTGGACTCCAACCTATCCTTCCAGCCCCAAGTCCAATCTTTAACAAACTCGTGCAGACTCCACCTCCGCAACATCACCAAAATCCGCACGTTCCTAACCCCAGAAACCACTAAACAGCTCATCCACTCCCTCATCATATCACGACTCGACTACTGCAACTCCCTCCTCACTGGCCTGCCTCGCCGCTGGCTATCCCCGCTTCAGTCGATCCTGAATATGGCTGCCAGACTCATTCACCTTTCCAACAGCTCCATCTCCGCCACCCCCTCTGCCAATCCCTCCACTGGCTTCCGATTGCGCAACGGATCAAATTCAAAATCCTAACATTGACGTACAAAGCCGTCCACCATACTGCCCCGAACTACATCACTGACCTAATATCCAAGTACCACCCAACACGCACACTCCGCTCCTCACAAGACCTCCTTCTCTCTAGTTCCCTGGTCTCCTCCCATGCCCGCCTCCAGGACTTCTCCAGGGTGTCACCCATCCTCTGGAACTCCCTGCCCCAACCCATCAGATTATCACCTACTCTCCTCTCCTTTAGGCGCACCCTGAAAACCCATCTCTTCAGGGAAGCCTACCCCACCCCCTGCTAACTTGACCGACCTCCTCCACTCTGCCTACCACTCCATCCCCCACAGCTATCTCCTCCTGTACCACTATCCCCTCCCTCCTAGATTGTAAGCTCCAAAGAGCAGGGCCCTCAATCCCCTCATGTTTTGCATTGTATTGGTATTGTTCTGTCACATGTTCTGTCCCCCTTTGTAATGTACAACGCTGAGCGAACTATTGGCGCTTTATAAATACTATATAATAATAATAATGAGCTCAGTTTTGAATTGGTTGAATTTGAGGAAGTGATGGGACATCCAGTCTGATATGTCTGTTAGTAAATTAGTGATGTGTGCAGAAACTGATGGACTGAGCTGGGGGGTAAAGAAACAGATTTGGTTGTCATCAGCATAGAAATGGTATTGGAAGCCATAGGGGCTATTAATTGACCCAGGGAGGCAGTGTAGATCAAGAATAGGAGACATCCAAAAACTGAACCTTGGGGGACAGAGAATGGAAGAGGAGAAGACTAAGTAGAATTGTAAGTGACATTGACTGCCGATTCACACATGTGCATTCCGGATTGCAAGGTCTGGTTTACGTCCAGGTTGCAATGTTCTTGTTCAACGGTTCAGGGCCAGATTAGGACCAGTTTTTGTGACAGCTGCGGATTGAACTCTTCACAGGTTCAGGGGTGGTTTGGATGCAGTTTTGCAAGGCTTTTTGGGTTTTGCTGAGGTGGAAAAGAGGGGGTGGGGGTGGAGTAAACTGTGCTGAAATCTTGATCCTGAACTGATGACATGTGCAATTCAGAAGCGGTTCCCATAGAAGTCAATAGCCTGAAGTCAATAGCCTGTAATGTGCACCTGAACCGGACCACACTGTTAAGAAATTGGACTGGATTCTTTTTTAATCCACACTGCCAATTCACCTTACATAGGTGAACAGGTACCATAGGTAGCAATGTTATTTCATATGGATAGGATACGGTTCAAACAAAGCTTGTATGTGAACCGGCACTGAAGGTGTGGTGGGATAGGTAGGGTGAGAAGAGTACTGTCATGAAGACCAAAAGAGTAGAGTTTTCTTGAGGAGGAGGGAGTGGTCCTCTGTCAAAGGAAGCAGAGAGGTCCAGCAGTAGGAGTACAGAGTAGTGTCCTTTGGTTTTAGCTGTTAGTAGATCGTTTGTGAGTTTCAGGAGAGCAGTTGACATGGAGTGTTGAGGATGAAATCCAGTCTGAAAGGGATTAAGAAGGTTGTTCTCAGTAAGATGGTCGCACAGTCATAGAAGTATTTCAAAAGCCATAGTATAAACCACCTTCTGAGATTCATCTGGCTGGGTTGTCTCCTACCTCACAGTAGCTGCGGAGTCCTTCAGCCTCGCAAGAGCTCCAGCAACAACTCATATCCATCCCTGCAGTCCCCATCAGGACTACCCTTCCCTTCACCATCATCTACCCACAGGATCCGTTTGAAGAGCACCATATCATGAATCCCCTCCAGGGATACCAATCTCCATTAATATTCACTGCTGTCCTATACATACTTTTTGTCCACCAGAGTAAGGGACATTCTTCCCTCTGGCCACACTAATGTAAAGAGCATTCTCCCCACTGACCACCAATGTAAGGAACATTCTTCCTACTGACCACCAATGTAAGGAGCATTCTTCCCACTGACCACCAATGTAAGGAGCATTCGTCCCACTGATCACCAATGTAAGGAGCATTCTTCCCACTGACCACCAATGTAAGGGACATTCTTCCCACTGATCACCAATGTAAGGGACATTCTTCCCACTGACCACCAATGTTAGGAGCATTCTTCCCACTGACCACCAATGTAAGGAGCATTCTTCCCACTGATCACCAATGTAAGGAGCATTCTTCCCACTGGCCACCAATGTAAGGAGCATTCTTCCCACTGACCACCAATGTACGGAGCATTCTTCCCACTGGCCACCAATGTAAGGAGCATTCTTCCCACTGATCACCAATGTAAGGGACATTCTTCCCACTGACCACCAATGTAAGGGGCATTCTTCCCACTGACCACCAATGTAAGGGGCATTCTTCCCACTGACCACCAATGTAAGGAGCATTCATCTCACTGATCACCAATGTAAGGGACATTCTTCCCACTGACCACCAATGTAAGGGACATTCTTCCCACTGACCACCAATGTAAGGAGCATTCATCTCACTGATCACCAATGTAAGGAGCATTCTTCCCACTGACCACCAATGTAAGGGGCATTCTTCCCACTGACCACCAATGTAAGGGGCATTCTTCCCACTGACCACCAATGTAAGGGACATTCTTCCCACTGACCACCAATGTAAGGGACATTCTTCCCACTGACCACCAATGTAAGGACTGATCACCATGTCATCTCACTGATCACCAATGTAAGGGACATTCTTCCCACCCACTGACCTCCAATGTAAGGGACATTCTTCCCACTGACCTCCAATGTAAGGGACATTCTTCCCACTGATCACCAATGTAAGGGACATTCTTCCCCCACTGATCACCATTGCAAGCAGCATTCTTGCAACTGACCACCAGTGTAAGTGTCATTCTTTCCTCTGGCCACCAGTGTAAAGCCAACCATTCATAGATCAAATTTCAGGTTCAGCAGGGACTGGCTGAGTTTCAATTTATTCATGGGCACTGTGGTTGTACAGAAGCTGATCTACTGATTGACTTCTGTTCAACCGCCCTGTCAATTTTCCCTGCTCGAAAATTGACAGGGTGGTCAAGTTTACAGCTAGAGGACTACAGCCTGCAACTCTGATCAGTGTATTCTGGTGGCAGGGTAATCTCCAATGTCAAAATACAGTAGCTTAGCGGGAGGATTCCCCAATCCACATCAAGTGTGTGGATGGATGAACGAGTCAGTATTTTCATTCAACCTGCTGGTTGGATGAAAAACAACTGACTCATCTATGGGCTGCCTAAGGAGCATTCATCCCACTGACCTCTGATTAATTGGTTTAGGCAGAAGTTCCTTGATACCTGAAAATACTTTAGGGGTTCCTCTGGGGGAAATAGGTTGAGAAAGGCTGGTCTACAAAGTAATATGCAATACTGGGTGATCACAGCAGGAATGCATAGCAGAATAACTGATCTACTACAAGAAGTATTACAACAGTAGATATACTGTAAGTGTCAGCACATTTGCAACCCTCAATAAACCCAAAACTTGAAAACCACAAAACAATAACTACTAGTCATCTATTATACATACGTGAGAGGATAGGATGGAGACCAAAGCAGTGATGGAGATAACACCAACAGATCATGTAATATGTAAGAACGACTAGGAAATGTTGAAGGTTTTAGTCAACCAGGAGTTTCAATTCCTTTTATAGCAAGCAGGAGATCCTGTGTGTGTATACTAGCCTAGAACATTGCTCAAGACCCATTAGGTTGCCTAGGGGCGCTTGGAGGACCACTACTTTTCAAGCTTGAAACAGAAGTTCATGCATGGGTGCGAGTGAAACTGGGGGTAATGTTATATTTTGTAGGAGTCCCAGTTGGCAAATCTGCGGGGTGAGCGGAACCAGGCACCCCATCAGGTCATATATTTGAGGATTGAACCCCAAATGTGTTTAGAGTAGCGCAACCTCATATCAGATGGACGAAAGAGGTTCATGGTGCATGACATTTGGGGCAGTTTGAAGAAAATCTGTCTTGTCTACTAAGTAATAAATACTGCTGGTGAATAACAAAAACGCTCTGATCTGGTGCTTCCTTTTGCATAGGAATACCTTGAATCCTACACTCACCGGCCACTTTATTAGGTACACCTGTTCAATTGCTTGGTAACACATATTGCTAATCAGCCAATCACATGGCAGCAACTGAATGCATTTAGATATCTAGACGGGGTGAAGACGACTTGCTGAAGTTCAAACCGAGCATCAGAATGGGGATTCAGGGGCTTTGAACGTGACATGGTTGTTGGTGCCAGACGGGCTGGTCTGAGTATTTCAAAAACTGCTGATCTACTGGGATTTTGACGCACAGCCATCTCCTAGGGTTTACAGAGAATGGTCCGAAAAAGAGAAAATATTCAGTGAGCAGCAGTTGTGTGGAGGAAAATGCCTTGTTGATGTCAGAGGTCAGAGGAGAATGGGCAGACTGGTTGCTGCAGCATTCAGATGGTGGGGTCAGAATTTGGTGTAAACAACACGAAAGCATGGATCCATCCTGCCTTGTATCAATGGTTCAGACTGGTGGTGTAATGGTGTGGGGGGAGATTTTCTTGCCACTAGCAAGGTGTACCTAATAAAGTGGCCAGTAAGTGTAAGTCCAGGTTTGTTTCTCTGTGAATAGTTTGCTTGGGCCAAGCTGTCCCCAACAATTTCAATTACTAATACATGCTCCCGCTGCCAGTAGAATCAGCTACATACAGTATACAGTGCTGTGGTATAGGGACTTCCAGTCCCATTTCCAGAACAATATTGAATCAGGTTGAGTACTACTCAGCCATTCACATTTTATGACTAATTACAAAGCCTTCCTCTGTCTAAGCTGGAGATCGTGGCGACCTCTTGACCTCAGCCTATCGGGGAAGCCTTGTCTTCATTCCTAAAATCCAAAACTTGCTGTGAATGACTGAGCAGCACTCAACTCAGCTCAATTTTGCTCCAGGAACGGGATGGAATATTGTTCATATTTTTCCCAGAACTCAGCACTAGTCAGGTCCATAAATATTGGGACATCGACACAATTCTAACATTTTTGGCTCTATACACCACCACAATGGATTTGAAATGAAACAAACAAGATGTACTTTAACTGCAGACTGTCAGCTTTAATTTGAGAGTATTTACATCCAAATCAGGTGAACGGTGTAGGAATTACAACAGTTTGCATATGTGCCTCCCACTTGTTAAGAGACCAAAAGTAATGGGACAATTGGCTTCTCAGCTGTTCCATGGCCAGGTGTGTGTTATTCCCTCATTATCCCAATTACAATGAGCAGATAAAAGGTCCAGAGTTCATTTCAAGTGTGCTATTTGCATTTGGAATCTGTTGCTGTCAACTCTCAAGATGAGATCCAAAGAGCTGTCACTATCAGTGAAGCAAAAGCCATCATTAGGCTGAAAAAACAAAACAAACCCATCAGAGAGATAGCAAAAACATTAGGCGTGGCCAAAACAACTGTTTGGAACATTCTTAAAAAGAAGGAACGCACCGGTGAGCTCAGCAACACCAAAAGACCACAGAAAACAACTGTGGTGGATGACCGAAGAATTCTTTCCCTGGTGAAGAAAACACCCTTCACAACAGTTGGCCAGATCAAGAACACTCTCCAGGAGGTAGGTGTGTGTGTGTCAAAGTCACCAATCAAGAGAAGACTTCACCAGAGTGAATACAGAGGGTTCACCACAAGATGTAAACCATTGGTGAGCCTCAAAAACAGGAAGGCCAGATTAGAGTTTGCCAAACGACATGTAAAAAAGCCTTCACAGTTCTGGAACAACATCCTATGGACAGATGAGACCGAGATCAACTTGTACCAGAGTGATGGGAAGAGAAGAGTATGGAGAAGGAAAGGAACTGCTCATGATCCTAAGCATACCACCTCATCAGTGAAGCATGGTGGTGGTAGTGTCATGGCGTGGGCATGTATGGCTGCCGATGGAACTGCTTCTCTTGTATTTATTGATGATGTGACTGCTGACAAAAGCAGCCGGATGAATTGTGAAGTGTTTCGGGAATATTATCTGCTCATATTCAGCCAAATGCTTCACAACTCATTGACGCCGCTTCACAGTGCAGATGGACAATGACCCAAAGCAGACTGCAAAAGCAACCAAAGAGTTTTTTAAGGGAAAGAAGTGGAATGTTATGCAATGGCCAAGTCAATCACCTGACCTGAATCCGATTGAGCATTTCACTTGCTGAAGACAAAACTGAAGGGAAAATGCCCAAGAACAAGCAGGAACTGAAGACAGTTGCAGTAGAGGCCTGGCAGAGCATCACCAGGGATGAAACCCAGCGTCTGGTGATGTCTATGCGTTCCAGACTTCAGGCTGTAATTGACTGCAAAGGATTTGCAACCAAGTATTAAAAAGTGAAAGTTTGATTTATGATTTTTATTCTGTCCCATTACTTTTGGTCCCTTAACAAGTGGGAGGCACATATGCAAACTGTTGTAATTCCTACACCGTTCACCTGATTTGGATGTAAATACCCTCAAATTAAAGCTGACAATCTGTAGTTAAAGCACATCTTGTTTGTTTCATTTCAAATCCATTGTGGTGGTGTATAGAGCCAAAAAGGTTAGAATTGTATCCATGTCCCAATATTTATGGACCTGACTGTACAGTGGGGATCGAAAGTTTGGGCACCCCAGCTAAAAATTTGTATTAATGTGCATAAAGAAGCCAAGGAAAGATGGAGAAATCTCCAAAAGGCATCAAATTACAGATTAGACATTCTTATAATATGTCAACAAAAGTTAGATTTTATTTCCATCATTTACACTTTCAAAATAAGAGAAAACAAAAAAATGGCGTCTGCAAAAGTTTGGGCACCCTGAAGAATTTATAGCATGCACTGCCCCCTTTGCCAAGCTGAGACCTGCCAATGTCATGGATTGTTCTCAATCATTGTCTGGGAAGACCAGGTGATGTCACTCTCAAAGGTTTTAAATGCCCAGACTCATCTGACCTTGCCCCAACAATCAGCACCATGGGTTCTTCTATGCAGTTGTCTAGAAAACTGAAACTGAAAATAGTTGACGCTCACAAAGCTGGAGAAGGCTATAAGAAGATAGCAAAGCGTTTTCAGATGTCAATATCCTCTGTTCGGAATGTAATTAAGAAATGGCAGTCATCAGGAACAGTGGAAGTTAAAGCAAGATCTGGAAGAGCAAGAAAAATATCAGACAGAACAGCTCGCAGGATTGTGAGAAAAACAATTCAAAACCCACGTTTGACTGCACGATCCCTCCAGAAAGATCTGGCAGACACTGGAGTTGTGGTACACTATTCCACTATAAAGAGATACTTGTACAAATATGGTCTTCATGGAAGAGTCATCAGAAGAAAACCTCTTCTACGTCCTCACCACAAAAATCATCGTTTTGAACTTTGCAAATGAACATATAGACAAGCCTGATGCATTTTGGAAACAAGTTCTGTGGACCGATGAGGTTAAAATTGAACTTTTTGGCCGGAATGAGCAAAGGTATGTTTGGAGAAGAAGGGGCACAGAATTTAATGAAAAGAACCTCTGTCCAACTGTTAAGCATGGGGTTGGATCAATCATGCTTTGGGGTTGTGTTGCAGCCAGTGGCACAGGGAACATCTCACGAGTAGAAGGAAAAATGGATTCAATAAAATTTCAGCAAATTTTGGATGGTAACTTGATGCCATCTGTGAAAAAGCTGAAGTTAAAGAGAGGATGGCTTCTACAAATGGATAATGATCCTAAACACACCTCGAAATCCACGGGGGGATTACATCA